GTTAACATGAATTTGAGTAACGGTATGTACAAATTGGACAATTTTGTAATTAAGAAGATTTGTAACCAAGTGAGAAGGTTGGGTCAGTTTTCCCTCTGACCTGACTACCGACCCCTGCGGTGCTTTTGTAAAGATTAGTAGGGTCATTACCTACACTTGACCTCTGTGGACTTGTTCTCACCCTCCTCTGTATATATATAACTTGTTCTGCACTTTTATTTTAGTCTGTACTCACCCCTGAAGATGTGAATTACACGAAAGCACTTGGGAACTTCGTGTTTCCTTTTTCTTGTGGTTATCAGCATATACCTGGATCACGCGCACCTACAGTGATTTATTTGCATATATATATATATATATATATATATATATATATATATATATATATATATATATATATATATATATATATATATATATATATATATATATATATATATATATATATATATTTTGTTAATAAATTATCACATATCAGCATATGCAAAGCCATATTAATATCATTAGCAGAGTCTCCCCATGAACGCCTTCAGCTTTCAAAGAAAATGAAATATTATTATCCTGGATGACTACAATAATATTGTACCTATCTTCGTGGTACATTACTTTATTAATCTCTTGAGTGAACACTCTGAAGCACGGGTGCAGTACTTCTGGAGCTCGCCGGTAGCGCCGCTCCGGCACCTATATTTTGATCAATCAATCAATCTATATCGCCGACGTCTTGTTCCCCAACAGGGGGTGGCCATGGCAGAAATGTCTCCAGGCCATTTTATCCTTGCACACCTCACTTGCTCTCTCAAACACTCTACCTCCCTTTCCCGCCCTCTCTTCAACAAACTCTCTAACTCAGTGGTTCTTAACCTTTTTTGAGTCACGGACCCCCTTGGGAATCTGGTGAAAGCTATGGACCCCCTCCCTAGAAAAATGCACGTAAGCATATAAAAACATCTTTGCATACAATGAATATACTTTATTTTATTGAAAATTCATTGCCTCATACAGTGTATGACATACACAAGGTATGAAGAAAGTAAACAATCTTAACAAAGAATTATGTTTCACAGTTTTTTTATGCAAAAATTATTGGCCACTCCATACAAAAATGAAATACAATCATCTTGTGCAAATTAACAAAACAAAACTTTAATACTGCTCAAAACTTCATTTCAATGTGAAGGTTGTTGTTGCTTGGATTGAACATAAGAACATAAGAACATAAGAAAATAAGGACTGCAATAGGCCGGTTGGCCTGTGCATGGCAGCTCCTGTCGAGAGTTACTACCACTCTCTATCATCCATGAATCTATCTAGCCTCTTTTTGAAACTTTCCAGCGTTCCAGCACTTACTACAAAGTTGCTAAGCTTGTTCCACTCGTCCACCACCCTGTTTGTGAACCAGTTCCTTCCTATCTCCCTCCTAAACCTAAGATCAATGTTAAATATTTACCTGACCTTCATGGACCCCTGAAGCCCATCCATGGACCCCCAATGGGTCCATGGACCCCAGGTTAAGAACCCCTGTTCTAACTGTTTTCTCCCAGGTGGCAATTGGTCTACCCCTCCCAACATTCCCCTCTCTCTTGCTATCATAAACTTTTTTGTCAGCCTGTCTTCATGCATCCTCGGCACATGTCCAAACCACCTTAGTGTATTCCTCTTCATCCACTCCACCACAACACACTTCACAGAGGTACCAGTATGGCCAGCATAAGGACAGAACCAGACACTGTGATGGAGTCGTGGCCAGAATTAGGCTAGGATACAGACACATCTGGCAAATTAGTAACTCTGTACCCATACCGGAACACTCAGCATGTAAACTTTGTGATAAACCTTTAAAGCATACACATGAACACTATATTATTGAATGTGACACTGTCAAAGACTTCAGGCCACCTGGCTTATTGTATCTTGAACTTTGTAATTACTATATTGAATCGGAGGTGCTTGGGGACATTCTTGCTGTTTATCCCAAATTTGCTAGCCCACACTGATTACTCTTCAATTAGAATATGACGTCCAATGTATATGAACCACTGTCTTGCATGGCAGCGAACAGTGACATCACCCACATGACTCTGACCTATATATACTGCTAATGAATATGATGCATTTCTTTGTGTACGAACCTCTGTCCTGCATGGCAGTGAACAGTGACATCACCCGCATGAATCTGATTTATGTACTTTATATATGTGTAGGTATGTGTATGCGTATGCATATGTATGTGTGTATATATATATATATATATATATATATATATATATATATATATATATATATATATATATATATATATATATATATATACTGTTAATGAATATGTTGTATTTCTTTGTGTATGAACCTCTGTCCTGCATGGCAGTGAGAAGTGATACCACCCTCAGTGTGTGTGTGTGTGTGTGTGTGTGTGTGTGTGTGTGTGTGTGTGTGTGTGTGTGCATCAATATATAAGGTTTAGGAAACGGAAATTATTTTGATAGCTCCGGTACCTTAAAAATTGGCACAGCAACACTGCTCTGAAGGTGCTGGCGGTGATGACTGTAGGAGCTGTTAATATGGTAAAGATTCGTTCTAGGTTGAACAAGGAGAAAGGGAGGAAGAAAGAACAAAAACATATTTTATTTTGTTACTTTTCTGTTGCATATTGATATTTTTCGAGTATTTTAACCGATATGACCCTCCCTCCCAATCACCAACAATATAATTTATTCAAAGTGGGCAGGGATTTGAAGTAGAAGGAACATATATAGTAAGACACTAAAAATAAGACCAAATAAACCTTTGGAAACCTTTCCTAACTTATAATATGGTTAAGAATCACTTTCGAGTTTATGGATCCATCCTCATCTGAACCCCGAAAATAGCACCATCGCATACTAAACACCAAAAACACGAATAAAATAAGATAAGCTTCTTAGAGTTTTAAGATTTTTATAATCTAGGAAAGGTTAAGTAAGATTTTCTAAGGTTTGTTTAGTGTTCTTTTTGGTATTTTACCCAACATTTTCCCTCTACTTCAAAGCCCTGCCCACTTTTGTTGGTAATATCAGTCAATATACTCGAAAATTATAAATTTGTGACTGAAACGTAATAGAATGTTAATTTTTTTTCTCTTTCTCTATATAAATAGAAATATGAAGTTCCTTGTTCGACCTAAAGCGAATCTTTACCGTTATTATTAACTGTTAATAAATTACAGAGATAATTCCGTTAAAACCATAAATGGCTGGTGGTACAGCAGTAACGTGCCTCTCATATGTCAAGAGTTCCAATATCAGCCCGGACACACGTGAGACTGTGTGACCCTACCAAACATCACAGGATTCCCGGAATCTGGTTGCCTCCTGTACTAACATTGGACAGACCAACCGCCCAAATGTTTAGTAAGCTGATAAGTGGTGAAAAAATGAACCACCTATTATCATGGCAGAAGTATACTGTACAATGTGTACAGTAAATCAACTTTATTTAGTTTCTGACACAGTTGACTGATTTCCTACGTGGTTATTGTTGTATAGTAATATCTAATGACCTATAAATATAACCGCGTTCTTATAACGTCTGGATTTATTATTCTTATTGCCAGTGTTTTGTTTGACAAATTTAATGCTGGAAATGACAACTATTGTCCTATTTGTTTCGTATAAAAAATATTCACTTTCTTCTAATACAACTTTTCTTTTCTTAACTTCATTGTGTCTTTTACCTTTATTTTATTACACTATAATTATTGTCCTTCTTTTATCATTCCTCACTTGCAGTCTGTAATGTGACATTCCTCATTCTTTTACATCCCTGACCTTAATAGTTATCTGAAATTGCATTATACATCTCAGGTTGTCAATCTCCACTATCTTTTGTCTTCATTTATCATTCCTTCATGCAATCTTCCTATTCACTCGTCGCTTCTAATTCTTCGTCTTCCTCAATTTACTCTGTGTTTTACTTTTATTTTCTTCTCTGACAAACACTGTTCGCTTGTATCAAAATTAACCCATAACTTCCAGACCTTTACCAATCACTACTCTTTTAAACTTCATAACTTTCTTCTTGATAGTGTTTACCTTTAACATCTCTCTCTCTCTCTCTCTCTCTCTCTCTCTCTCTCTCTCTCTCTCTCTCTCTCTCTCCAGTCACCTTCATCATTATGGATCACTTGTCACTCCAATTCATCCTCTGACTCCCCTCCCCCAGCACCAAATCACCATCCATCCACTGTGTCACCAAGATTCACTCACACTTCAAGGTAATCATTTTTTATTATTTTTCTTTCCCATTTTTCTCTTTCATAAATACAATAAGTAACCTCTGACGTACTCGCTCAGTGATATCCAACCTCTCATTCACTCCACTGTATTATAACCTAAGTTGCTGGTGTCCCTTTCAAAAATTCAGTAACCTAACAACTTTCTCATATCGTGTCTTCCAACACTAACAGTCCTTCTTTGCTTTACATGTTAAACACTTCTTCTTAATGCAAGCGTGGCATATCCTTTCTTATTTTAAAAAATGCATTCATCTTTACTTTTCTACGTGAGAGTTATAATAATTGTAAGCTCATTTATCTAAGATCTCCCTATAACTCACCTTTCCTGTCATACTTCAGATACTTTATAATAAGGAGGCAATAATAATCTTCATCCAGTGCTCAGGTACCAGCTTCCTTTTCCAAGTATTCTTACATATCTTCTACATCCGTTGTTGTTTATGTAAGTCCGATTTCTTCTTATGATTGGTAATTTGTATATTTGTGCTTAATGCCGGGATTTATTATGTGTATCTCCGTATCTGTTAGGAATTTGTAGGTCGTTAATTATGAGGAGTTGGAACGTAATTTTTATTCCCTAGCACCAACAATATTAAATTAGTACCATCATAAGCACAGGTCAGCTAGTGTACTTCTGGTAGTCATGAGGCATATGTGAGGCTGAAAGTGGTTGTGTTTGGGATAATTAAACACTTCGGCCAGTGCAGTTCAGTAGATTTACTTTATTACAAAAATATTTACATGAACCTGTACAGACTTATGTACATAATAATATTATACTCGTAAAAAAAATCCCATGTCGACATAATTTATTTTACAGTTGAAAGCAGACAAACAAAATAATGCATTATATCGAGTTACTGGAAATTTATACTTGTGTACAGCCTCAGCCGCCCTATACCTCTGCCGGTGTTGCCAAGTTAGAGGGATTTCATGAGCCCCAGTTCAATGTGCTATGTAGACACCTTGATATAGCAATCATTGGCCTCCTCTATTTACAGGTTTTAGTACCCAATTACTGCGTTGCCACTCAGACGAGGAGAAACGTACCCGGTGTAAAGAGGCGAACTCAAAAGACACTTAGGACGTACTTAAGAGACATTTGAGTATAGAAATAAATATTATTGCACATTTCTGACCATATGAGCCTTTATCAGTGTCCTGATAAATGGCAGAAATACTGGTGAGGTGCATCAGTCCTCACATGTCCTGGACTGACGGTGGTAAGACAGGGAAATGGGTCCAGTTTTCACACGAATTCGGAAGTTCAAACACCGATTAATCCCTCCATGCTGTTACTTACATAAAATAACTAGCTCGTCTATATTTTAGTCTCACAATCTAAACTACTGTTACATGTTGACATTGGGACAGAGGAACATTATTTTTCTGTTTTTCTGAACAGAAGAATAAATTTTCTAATAAAACTAAATTTGACATCATAAATGGCAACCCGGTCATCGTCGAACTGACCTCCTTGATATAGTTCTGTGGTAGATACAATAACTCGTCATCCTTCAGGGACGGAGTTGAAAATTCAAACGGTGGCATCTTTCTCCTCTGGATACATTTAGGTAGAACTGACCAGTACTTGGAACACTCCTAAAGATTTGTACCTGAACAAACTACAAGCATTTGTTTTGTCCACTAGCTGTCACACATTGACCGAAAGAATCTAAGAACCTATGAAGAATAATAACAAGAAAATGATGATACCCATCTCTTCATTAGCAAATAGTCATCCTTAATATTCTTAATTCATCGAAAGGAATTCAAGTCCGCGTTCTGCTGTACATTACTTCCTTAACCGGGCACCCACTACTCACCACAGCCACTTGCCTCTCCCTTTAAAAAACAATGTAAGGGTACTCAAAAAACCTGCACTTTCCTTCGTATTCTCTACTTTAGACGGAATCTGAAAGAATTTTAATTACTTGATTAACTTAGAATTTCTTACTTCATTTGTTTACCCTTGTCTTTTGTGTTCTAGTTAAGGCAATCTTCATGCTTTCCTCGCGTTCTTGTTTCTCATCACAAGAAATAAGCGACTATGTTACTTATGTCATAGGTAAAACACCCAACACCCAATCACGAAAACATATCACTTGGTAATCCGTAATATACCCGGGGAGAAGTCACTAAAACACAGACAAACAAACACAATAAGCCATCATCAGCATTGTTTGATGACGCATAATGACTCGGTAAATAAAGAGAAACTAAGAAAAAAACAAGAGAAATAATGTTTGATTAAATAAGTATTTTTCGCGTCATGCCGCTTGAAGCTTTCGTGTTGTTGACTCCCTGGCGCTATTGAGGCGTGTGTTGGACCCCGCTGTATGGTGTGTAACCATCCTCTCTCACAGCACTGGTCCTCAAACAGACAAAACTTACTACGTTGTGTTGATGAAATGTCAGTGAAATAATATAAAAATTAACACATCATGATATAACAAAATAAATTAAACTGAGAGATACAATAAGGATAGGAGACATGAAGTAAAATCAGAGTAAAAAAAATCTTACAATGAGTTTAACGATAATAATTCACGTAAAAAATATACAGAAATTGGAAAGCTGGTTATCAATGATAATTAAAAACAACATTTAAACAAATATCATGTAAGAGGAATTTGTTAATTATAAATCCTAGATCATCCCATAGTCACATAACATTTTCCTGGGTTAAAGTCAGCGTTGGCAACATTGTCGATTATTACTGAGAAGAAAACAAATATGTCATGGAAATACTGCATTATTATTATTATTATTATTATCCCGGCACTTCATTATATTAACATATAAATCGACATCATAATGTATTCTTGCATTTTACAAGGGAAGGTACACGACATTGAGAAGTCGTTAGTTGACTTGTGTGTGTGTGTGTGTGTGTGTGTGTGTGGTAACTCTCACGTTCAGAACATTACAACATTGTTTTGTGGAATATAATTTTCTATGAGAATGATAAATTTATTCAATGGATTATAACTTTGTTCAGTGAATTACTTCTTTGACCAAAATTTACAGTGGCCGTTTTTCACAACGAAACCACAAACTTTTAGCCATAATTTTGTATTTTCAGAACACTCGCATATTCAACGTTTTAATAATGAATTAAAGATCCTTTACAGATGTAAACAATGACGACAAACATATTCTGATGGAGCTCCGACTTCCTATTATTTTCAAGTTTTTGTAAGATTGACTTACAAGGTTTGAAAGGCTACCTCGGTTTCAAGCAATTAGTTGAGCCTTTAATTTTTCCCATATTATATGTTTTTTTTACCGATTTTTCATTCTTGTGAAAAAAGTTTGATGCTTAAAAAAACAATTGTCAGTTTCGGGCAGTCTACTGTAGTTGTGTCGCTTCTAAAGTTTTCGATCAAATAAAGGAAATTAAATACATAGAACAGCATATATTTAGTGACTGTTTACCTGTCTCATATTTTCTGACATGTAAATTTATGCTTGTACTTTTTTCTCGGTTTTTAGCTCATAAAAGTTGAAAACATGATATAGAACTAAAAGTTGATAATTATGTAGTGTATGGTCGAACTTGGTTGTATGCTCTTCAAGATCCGTACATCATACTTGGTGTCTGTGACAGAGTGTGTAGGTATCCTGAGATTTATAGATGGAGATTCAGTTGAACGTATTCAGTTGAAGTGGCCATTAAGGGAGAGACAGACTTCGACCAGTTAAAAGTCATCAGTTGGAGATGCAACGAAGAATTCTTAGGTTTCGAACATCTTATGCCTGTCAGGACCAGAATTTATCTAAGGTTGTTTAAAGTTAAGAAGGAGAGGCAATGAGAAGTGTGTTTTTATGCTGAAGGGATAAGGATTCTGAAGGTTGTATTGGTCGACAGTTTTTTTTTTTTGGAACTTATTGATGATAAAGTTATAAGGTTCAGGTTATCCTTTAGCCACCTTGTTCACCCTAATAGTTGTGTCTTAAACAAATAATCGACTCCATGACTTTTTCAGAGGCTCATAGAGTCTGCATTTGAGCACTTTTGGGGTATAGGCGTAATGGTCTTGGAGGGATTTCTGAAGTGAGAGCGAGCACCTTTTAATTGTCCCTTCAGTTACGATCATCCCGTTATTTTCTTTATGTCGAAGGGCTCCCCGGGCTTGTGCTTGAGGAGACCCATTTGCGTCATGGTCTTGATGAAGGTGGAGTGGTCGCTGAGGATCTTATGTGATGTCACGTCCTTCTTCAGTTCCTCCATGTCCCTCTTTAACTTGGCTCGCCTGTTCTGGAACCACGTGATCACCTGCGGGAGGGAGAGGTTATTAGTTATTGAGAGTCTTTAAGTATAGGTGTGAGAGATAAAAGTTTTAAAAAAACAAAAATGTTTTTATGAAGGACAAAAACAAACACAAAAAAAAAAAAACAAAAATTTGTGTTTTATGAAGAACAATGCTAAAAAACTTTTGAAGGAGAACATAATAGCTAAAAGGAGGTTTTGTGTGCATAATAGCTAAGAGAGATAGAGGTTATTGTGTCTTTATGAAGGAGGGACATAATAGCTAAGAGAGATAGAGGTTATTGTGTCTTTATGAAGGAGGAGACATAATAGCTAAGAGTTATTGTGTCTTTGAGAGGTTAAGAGATAAGTTGTGTTTTATGAAGGAGGACATAATAGCTAAGAGAGGGTATTTTCTTTATGAAGGAGGAGCCATTAGAGGTAGATTTGTGTCTTTATGAAGGAGGAGACATAGCTAAGAGGTGGGGTGTCAGCCAATGGCTATGGAAGGAGGAGACATAATAGCTAAGAGAGGTAGGGATTGTGTGTGTCTTTATGAAGGAGGAGACATAATAGCTAAGAGATAGAGGTTATTATTGTCTTTATGAAGGAGGGAAATAATAGCTAAAGAGAGATAGAGGTTAGTGTGTCTTATGAAGGAGGAGACATAATAGCTAAGAGAGGTAGAGGTTATTGTGTCTTTATGAAGGAGGAGACATAATAGCTAAGAGAGATAGAGGTTAGTGTGTCTTTATGAAGGAGGATACATAATAGCTAAGAGAGATAGAGGTTATTGTGTCTTTATGAAGGAGGATACATAATAGCTAAGAGAGATAGAGGTTATTGTGTCTTTATGAAGGAGGAGACATAATAGCTAAGAGAGGTAGAGGTTATTGTGTCTTTATGAAGGAGGAGACATAATAGCTAAGAGAGATAGAGGTCATTGTGTCTTTATGAAGGAGGAGACATAATAGCTAAGAGAGGTAGAGGTTAGTGTGTCTTTATGAAGGAGGAGACATAATAGCTAAGAGAGATAGAGGTTAGTGTGTCTTTATGAAGGAGGAGACATAATAGCTTAGAGAGATAGAGGTTAGTGTGTCTTTTAACAGTTGATAGAAATTATTGTCATTCAGATAATTGGCAGACAGAGGTGATCACATTTCTCAATACATGTAGACTTGTGTACTTATATTAATGTTTATTTAATTGATTGAATTTATATTCCTGTAATTGCCTTCTTATCTCTCATGTTAATATTATTATGGGTTTTTTTGACTCTGGATCTATGTTATTCTGGCTAAATAAACTGTTTAAAATCCATATCAATCAATATCAATGTACTTACTGTCAATATTATTCTCTGTGATATTTTTGTGAGGCATTTATTATTTATAGACCTAACCTAACCTAACCTAACCTAACCTAACCTAGCTTGACTTAACTTAGCCAAACGTGACGTAACACTACAACCTGTCTACTATTCATATGTACTGCACTGTGTTTATCGTATGCCAACGCCACAAAACTCTTCCATGTAGGATATATCTCACTTGATCACGTATATCACTCTCCCATCTATCACTTTTACACACACTCACACCTCTCCTACCGACACTCTCACCCACCTACACCTTTCATACACTCACACCTTTCCTACCGACACTCTCACACACCCCACACCCCTTTCATACACACTCACACCTCTCCCCTCCGACACTCTGTACACACTACATCTTTCATACATCACACCTCTTCCTACTGACACACTCCCTCACATGCCACCTCCACACCTTTCATACACTCTCCACACTTTTTACCGACACTCTCACCCACCTACACCTTCATACACTCACACCTCTCCTACCGACACTCTCACACCCATGACCTTTCATACACTCCACACCTCTCCTACCGACACTCTCACCCCACCTCACACCTTTCTTTCTATACACTCACACCCTCTCCTACCGACACTCCTCACACACCCACACCTTATACACCCACACTTCTCCTACCGACACCTCACACACCCACACCTTTCACACTCACACCTCTCCTACTGACACTCACACACCCACACCTTTCACACTCACACCTCTCCTACCGACACTCTCACACACCTACACCTTCATACACTCACACCCTCTCTCCTACTGACACTCTCACCCACCCACACCTTCATACACTCACACCTCTCCTACCGACACTCTCACCCACCCACACCTTCATACACTCACACCCTCTCCTACCGACACTCTCACCCACCCACACCTTTCTATACATTCACACCTCCTCTCCTACTGACACACTCTCACACACCCACACCATTCACCACACCCTCTCCCAACACACCTCACCCACCCACACCTTCATACACACTCACACCTCTCCCAATGACACTCTCACACACCTACACCTTTCTACACTCCACACCTCTCCTACCGACACCTCACACACTTACACCTTCTTCACACCACACCTCCCCACTGGACACCTCACACACCCACACACCACACACTCCACACCTCTCCCACTGACACCTCACACACCCATGCACCTTTCATACACTCTCACACACCTACAGCCTTCTCACACACACACACACACACACACTCACACACACACACACACACACACACACACACACACACACACACACACACACACACACACACACACACACACACACTATATCTCGGTATAAACCATATCATATTCCTTAACATCTTCACCACTTATAAATCTAATGAAAGGTATTTGACACATTGTAACTCCTCCCATGAACATCGACTTTAACCAATCCCTCCCCCCGTGATCCACCCAATCCGTTCCCAATCCCTCGCCCCGTGATCCACCCAATCCGTTCCCAATCCCTCGCCCCGTGATCCACCCAATTCGTTCCCAATCCCTCCCCCCGTGATCCACCCAATCCGTTCCCAATCCCTCGCCCCGTGATCCACCCAATCCGTTCCCAATCCCTCGCCCCGTGATCCACCCAATTCGTTCCCAATCCCTCGCCCCGTGATCCACCCAATCCGTTCCCAATCCCCCTAATCCGATCTCTAATCATCCCTCACAATTCTTGCTAAACACCACAACAAGATAGAATTTCCTATGTTATAAAAAGCACCTGGTGACTTACGGTGGGGAGGGGAAGGTGGAGGTTGAGAAGGAGGGAGGAATGGAAGGAGGGAGAGTGTGGGGGAGGGCAGAGGAGGGGGAAGAGGGACGGTAGGTGGTGGAGGTGGGAAGAGGGGAGAAAAGGAGGGAAGTGAAGGGAGGGAAGGAAGAAGGTGAAGGAAGTGGGAAGAGGCTGCAGGTACAGAGGGAGAAGGAAAAATAAAGGAAGAGATGAGGGGAGGAAGGAATGGGGTAGAAGGAGGAAGTGGGAGGGAGGTGGAGAGGGAGGGGAGGAGGGAGGGAGGGAGTTCTTTCGTGTTGAGGCAACGTGTCATTCCGACTTAACTAGGTATGTGTGGCTGCCCGGGGTGTCATTACTGTCATGCGAGGATAGTTGGCGAGGCTTGTCATATGCTCCCTCAGCCACCCCCTCCTCCTCCTCCTCCTCCTCCCACAGCTGATACCTTTATTGACTAAAACATAACGCCCACCCGAAGGTGTTTCATTTCTTTTCTTTATTATTATTATTATTATTATTATTATTATTATTATTATTATTATTATTATTATTATTATTATTATTATTATTATTATTATTATTATTATTATTGTTATTGTTATTATTATTATTATTATTATTATTATTATTATTATTATTATTGTTGTTGTTGTTGTTGTTGAGGTATAATTATTTCCTTTTTATTATCAACTCTTTTTTTTTCCATTAAAATATCTGGTCGAAAATCCGCATTAACTTATGAGAATCTGGAATAGTGATCAAGTAAGAGCCAAAGACGTAAGACGAGTGAGCAGGATCGTAAAGTCTCCGGAGAGTCGAATATACGAGAGTTCCTGTTAAGCTGAATAAGTAACATGGAACAGATGGAAGATGAGAAAATAGTAAGTCTTATGGCAGCACAGGCTGGAAGATGGTAGGAAAATGAAACGGAAAATTGTATAATGTATTGAATAGTGAGGTGTCGAGGTTTCACGTTCAACATTTTCCCCGAAAAAAAAAGAAGGGAATTTATATGGTAGTTTGTTTCAAACTTGGGGTCGTAAGATGAGGAACCGTGACCATTCAAGAATGTTCTATACTGTTATGCTGTACTGTATTATGAGGCAGTATAGAAGCTGAAGACTCATTCTGTATTATGTAAGTTGAAGATATAAAAAGTATGTATGAATATCCCTATATGCTGGGTTCTGCTCTATCCTAACGCTCTCTATAATTCTCTGTCATTTTGGGTTATATATATATATGTGTGTGTATATATATATATATATATATATATATATATATATATATATATATATATATATATATATATATATAACCCAAAATGGGAGTTTGTGAGTACAATAGAAAAATAAATGTTTCCTCAGAAGACATTGACAACTGAGTGAACAGACCTGTTATACGGTACTGTATACCGGTACATTGGTTATCATCATCTATTTCTTGTTATAACTCAGTACAACTTAAAGGTTAATGTATAGACATATAAAATATTAATATATAAAATAACATATAAAGAACATAAACATAATAATTAATGGAATAGAGGAATTGGCAGTGCGCAACTCCACGCGCACTCCCGGGAGACAACCACAGCTTATTTTCTGGGAGAAGTTGCCTCTCTCAGCATAATTACTTGTAGCTTTAATTAACTGCTGCATAGTCTTTTGATATACAGTATATAAGAATATTGTTGTTCATACTGAACTGTTTGTTTGGAGACACTGACAGTGTTGCTGAGTGTGTATGTATCATTATAATATTTTACGACCATCGGCTTGATGTATAAATTATGGGGGTAAGGATTAATATTTTCATGTATTCATAAGACGTCTGGTAATAAGTCTGTTTTGTTATTTGTATACTTGTGGTATATATACAGTAGATC